TCTCCACAATCTGGGCGCGCACCGGCCCGTGCAAACACCCTGGCGGCTCCCCCTTGGCAGTGTTGAAGCCAGCGCCTCTCTCGAGACATCCTCACAAGCTGCTGCGAGAGCAGACGAGTCTGGGCACCGAAACTGGCAGAGCGTCTGAGAACTCTCCACAATCTGGGGGCGCGCACACCCCGTGCAAACACCACTTGGCAGTGTTGAAAGCCAGCGCCTCCTCGAGACATCCTCACAAGCTGAGAGCAGACGAGTCTGCGAAACTGGCAGAGCGTCTGAGACTCTCCACAATCTGGGCGCCACCGGCCCGTGCAAACACCCTGGCGGCTCCCCCTTGGCAGTGTTGAAGCCAGCGCCTCTCTCGAGACATCCTCACAAGCTGCTGCGAGAGCAGACGAGTCTGGGCACCGAAACTGGCAGAGCGTCTGAGAACTCTCCACAATCTGGGCGCGCACCGGCCCGTGCAAACACCCTGGCGGCTCCCCCTTGGGAGTGTTGAAGCCAGCGCCTCCCTCGAGACATCCTCACAATCTGCTGTGAGAGCAGACGAGTCCGGGCACTGGCAGAGTGCCTGAGGACTCTCCACAATCTGGGCGCGCACCGGCCCGTGCAAACACCCTGGCGGCTCCCCCTTGGCAGTGTTGAAGCCAGAGACATCCTCACATCTGCTGTGAGACGACTCCGGGCACTGGCAGAGTGCCTGTTGGGCGCGACGGCCCGTGCAACACCCTGGCGGCTCCAGAAGCCTCTCTCGAGACATCCTCACAAGCTGCTGCGAGAGCAGACGAGTCTGGGCACCGAAACTGGCAGAGCTCTGAGAACTCTCCACAATCTGGGCCGCACCGGCCCGTGCAAACACCCGGGCGCTCCCCCTTGGGAGTGTTGAAGCCAGCGCCTCCCTCGAGACATCCTCACAATCTGCTGTGAGAGCAGACGAGTCCGGGCACTGGCAGAGTGCCTGAGGACTCTCCACAATCTGGGCGCGCACCGGCCCGTGCAAACACCCTGGCGGCTCCCCCTTGGCAGTGTTGAAGCCAGCGCCTCTCTCGAGACATCCTCACAAGCTGCTGCGAGAGCAGACGAGTCTGGGCACCGAAACTGGCAGAGCGTCTGAGAACTCTCCACAATCTGGGCGCGCACCGGCCCGTGCAAACACCCTGGCGGCTCCCCCTTGGGAGTGTTGAAGCCAGCGCCTCCCTCGAGACATCCTCACAATCTGCTGTGAGAGCAGACGAGTCCGGGCACTGGCAGAGTGCCTGAGGACTCTCCACAATCTGGGCGCGCACCGGCCCGTGCAAACACCCTGGCGGCTCCCCCTTGGCAGTGTTGAAGCCAGCGCCTCTCTCGAGACATCCTCACAAGCTGCTGCGAGAGCAGACGAGTCTGGGCACCGAAACTGGCAGAGCGTCTGAGAACTCTCCACAATTTGGGCGCGCACCGGCCCGTGCAAACACCCTGGCGGCTCCCCCTTGGGAGTGTTGAAGCCAGCGCCTCCCTCGAGACATCCTCACAATCTGCTGCGAGAGCAGACGAGTCCGGGCACCGAAACTGGCAGAGCGTCTGAGAACTCTCCACAATCTGGGCGCGCGAACGGGCCCGTGCAAGCATCCCGGCGGCTCCCCTGGCTCCCCCTGGGAGCGCTGGAAACGGCATCTCGCTGGAGACAGCCCCACGATCTGCGAGTCTGGGCGCGCGCGAGTCCGAGTGAGTCTGTCTGCGCGAGAGCCCCATCTCGGGACGTGGGGGACGTCAGTTGCCTGGCAAGCGAGGCGACAAGTGCAGACTGATGGCGGGGAGCCGCCGCGTGGTCCAGTGTCCGCCGCAGCGTGCACCCCGTTACCGCGTTGACAGGGCGAGCGTGGGGGGGTGTCGGCGGCTGCGGGACGCGGTGCCTGATTGGGAAGACTGAGGTGGGTGGCGAGGAGGAGGAGGAGGAGGAGGAAGAGGAGGTGGTGAGGAGGAGGAGAAGGAGGAGGAGGAGGAGAGGGAAGGGGAGAAGGAGGAGGAGGGAGTGATGCCAGCAGGCGTTTTTCCTTTTGCCGCTGTGCCCAAGGGGGCCGCGGCGGCTGGGGGGCGGCGGCGGCGGCGGCGGCGGTGCCAGATGAGTGACGCCAGAAGACGGGTTCGACTGCGCGTAAGTTTCCCGCGTCCGGCCGCGCGTAAGCGCCCTCGTTTCCAATGTGGCGTACCACGCCGGCGGCCCGCGTCAGCCGCCGCGTAAGGTCGTTATGTCATCGTGCGTGAGGCCCGTTGTCTTTCGTCGCTCAGACTCGGCGGTGCGCCCGGGGGGGAAGTGAGAGGGGGCAGGCCTTCTCAGAAGACGGCGGGGCTTCTCAGAAGCCCTCGCGCCCTCCGAGAAGTGTTCTGTGCCTTTGGGGAAGGCTCAAAAAAATTCTCAGCCGAGGCCTTCCGTCGAAGAAGAACAAACGCCATGAACGTCAACTGTTTGCGCTCCGCGCGGATTTCTTGGATCCGCGCCAGGCCCCCCTGGCTGCGCCTTCGGCGGGTGTCCAGCCCAGATCCAAGAAATCCGCGCGGAGCGTCAACAGTTTATGTCTAGTCTATGCTATTCTTTCTTCTATTCCGAGCCTCCTGAGAAGGCCCGCCCCCTCTCTCTAGGCCACCCAGATGGGGTCGTCGGAGTGGATGGGATCGGAGGATCCCGCCGCATCGCCAATGCATCGCCGATGCGGCTCGATGCGGAGCCCGGTTCTCTCCACGCCGACGTCGCCGACGCATCGCCGACGTCGACGCTGCCTCGCTGGTGCATCACCGATGCATCGCCGATGCGTCGCCGATTTATCGGCGATGCGGCGCTATCCTCCGACCCAATATACACGCCGGTCGTTGAAATCAAGTATTTGTGGATTCCCAGATCCCAATCTACTTCAAGCGCCTTCCTACTTCAAGAATCGATATGCTTCTATGAGCCTGTTTCTTTATTACTTGGGGCATGACGGGCGTCATGGCCCCCGGCCCCCCCCCCCCCAGTGCGTTCTGGGCAATGCCGCCGTGCGCATCGGGATCCGCATAGGTGTCCGCATAGGAATCTGCATAGGAGTCTGGTTCGTAGTCGTCGTCGTCGTCGCCGTTGTCGTCGTCGTCGTCGTTGTCGCTCGTCGCTCGTCGCTCGTATCTCGTCGCTCATCGTCGTCGTGCGCGCGGACGCAGCTGGAGCCTGCTTTTTATTCCAGACCAGTGACGGCAATCACCAGGGGGGGGGTGGAGGGGACGGATGACGTCACGTTTCGCGCCGGCGGCCGTGGACGGGTACCAGCAGCATGTCGTTGGCGATCTGCACCACAACGTCTGTGTACACCATAGTGCCTGCGTGCACTACAGCGCCTGTGTACACCACACCGCCTACGTACACCACAGCAGCCGCGTGCATCACGCGCCAGTGTGTGCCACAGTGCCTGCTGGCACCACAGCGCTTGTGTACACCACAGCGCCTGCGGACACCACATCAGCCGTGTGCAACCAGCACCAGTGTACACCACAATGCCTGCGTGCATTTATCACGGCGCCAGTGAATAGACCACTCTGCGGTGCACGATGAGCCGCGCACGTGCGCTATAGTGTCGAGGAGGGGAGGGGAGGAGTGCGCACGACAGAGGGGAAGGGCGAGGGAGGAGGAGGATGAGGCGGAGGAGGAGGAGGAGGCGAAGGTGGAGGAGGAGGAGGGAAAACGTCGCATTCTATTATCAGCTCTTCTCTTGCTCCTTCTAACTGTCCTGTGCACGCAGGCTCTCTGGTGTACACCAGCGCATGCGGTGTACGCAGGCGATGTGGTGTACACTAACGTTGTGGTGCATGTGAGTACTGTGGTGTACACAGGCGCTGTGGGGCAGATCGCCACCCACATGCTGGTCGCGTCGCTTCGTCGTCGTCGTCCTCGTCGTCCTCGTCGCTCGTCACTCGTCGCTCGTCGCTCATCGTGCGCGGGCGCGGCTGTGGTGCCAGAGCCGCACGGCGGGGGGGGGGCGTTACGTCATACCACCCCCCGCCCCACCCCCCCAAAGACGCCCGTCATCGCCGATGATAAAAAAAAACGCTCTATGTTGTTTTTATTATTTGGGAGGGCCTGAACCCAATCTACTTGATCCGCCTTCCTACTACATGTTTTTGCATACTTCTTCCGACCAGCGTGAACTCCTACCCCATCTGTCAGGGGCAACGATAAGGGGGGATAGGCATAGGGGGGGATACATCGACCCCCAATCGCCCATTGACTCCCGGTAGGGGCCCGATAGCCCCAACCTGCCCAGGAACATGCGGATTCACTATCGGAGGCCTATCGCCGATCTATCGACGATGTATCGCCGATTCTAGGTTGATGTTACCCCCTATCCCAATTCCTCCTACTTCTTGTGATCGTTTTTTTATACATTGTTTTGCCGAGTGGCGCGGGCCCCAAAACCCCCCCTCCCCTCCCCCTCCCTGGAGTAGATCTTATTTGTTTTTGGCGCCTGTTTCAAGCAGGTGGAGCCTCCCCCATAATGCACGCACTGCTGCAAACGGTCGCGCTAAACAGAGGTCCAGAGCCAGACCCCACCTCCCCCCGCTCCTCCCAATGGCGAAACGCCGAATCAAAAAACGCTCACCTTCCGACCGGCATGTACTCCGACCCTATCTGGGAGGCTTCTCTTCTCACTTCCCCCCCGGGCTCGCCGCCGAAGGGTGTCAGTCTCGTTGAACCGATCCCCATCCCCGTCCCCATCCCCATTCGAGACCCCCACCGAATTACCACCCCAGTTGGGGATGCACCCCTCGAAACCCAAAGGGGACGGCCTACATCCCCATCTAGGGGGCTCAATCGCAGGCAAGCCACAACTGGGGGAGCTGTGGTCCTTCCCCTCCTGGGGGACCCATCGATTTCGACACCCCTCTCGAGAGATCGTCGAGGCGATGAGTTCCCCCAGGGGGCTAAGGACCACAGCTCCCCCAGTTATGGCTGGTCGGAATCGGCCACGCCGCTGGGGATGGGGATCGGCTAAGCGATGCTCAAGGTGCCCTCTGGCATCGGGCGGCGGGGCAAAGGCCTCGGGGGCGCGCCGCGGAGCAGCAACGCGGCGCGGGCAGGCAAAAAGACCACATCGGAGGCCTGGGCGGTGACACCACCTCCTCCTCTTCCTCCTCCTCCTCCTCCTCCTCCCTCTCCTCCTCCCCTCCCCTCCTCCTCCTCCTCCTCCTCCTCCTCCTCCTCCTCCTCCTCCTCCTCCTCCTCCTCCTCCTCCTCCTCCTCCTCTCTCCTCCTCTCTCCTCCTCTCTCCTCCTCCTCCTCCTCCTCCTCCTCCTCCTCCTCCTCCTCCTCCTCCTCCTCCTCCTCCTCCTCCTCCTAGACGGGCGCGGCGCTGGCGGAGATAATGGAGCTGCAGTTGAGGACCAAGCAGCGCATGCACGACAGGTGCCACACCGGCATGGGCGACGCCGACTTCGACCGCTTCGACCTCATCGTCGGCTTGCCGATCGTGCCGTACGAGGTGCCTACGGCGGCCAGGGCGGCCGACATCTTCCTGTGGGGCGACTGGGCGCTGGACGGCGACACCCGCACCACGGTCGTCTACTCCGACGGCTCGGGGTACAAGCCTGCCACGTTCGAGCTCACGCGGTGCGGCTGGGTGATCGTGCAGCTGGACATGATGGGCTTGCCGAGGCGTGCGGCCTACGGGGCCCTCCCTGGCGCCCGCCAGACTCCGGGCAGGGCCGAGCGGTGGGCCTTCCTGCAGGCCTTGCGGCTGCTGCCAGACATGAAGTTGCTGGTCACCGACCTGGCGGGCGTGCAGCGCGAGATCCTGGAGTGGGACTCTCGCCACGCCAGCTCGGTCGGCAGCTACGCGGACAGCTGGAGGCAGGTATTGGAGGTGAGGAGAGGCCAGGCGCCACCTGACGTTCTGTGGTGCCCCCCCCCCTCCCACCTCTCGTTCATCGAGTGCGCTGAGGACCCAAGCCGAGACGTCATGGATTTCCTCTGCAACGATTGGGCCGACTGGTTGGCCAAGCAGGGCGCCCGCGAGCACAGGCTCCCTGCGGCGCTGGCGGACCTCTACAAGGTGCGGCTCTCGGACGCTGTGGAGGAGGCCTCGGTGCTGGCGTGGCACATGACCGCGCTGGGCGCCCTGTCCGAGGAGGTTCAGAGCCGCACCTGTCGGCAGAGCCTCCAGCCGCCACCGGTGGCGCCTGCTCAGTTCGGCGGCCGCCACCGCCTCGTCCGTCGGCCCGAGGGCTGGGCTGGCACAGCCTGCTCGGCCTCGGCCGCGACTGCGGCCGCGAAGCGCCGTCTCGAGCGGGAGGAATGTGCGCCCTCCGCCCTCCGCTCCCACATGGCTTGTGCGCGTGCTCGTCACCCTCCCTCCGCCCCCGCCTCCCTCGCTGCGGCGCCGCTCCCATCGGCGCGTGGGGAAGCCATCGCTGTCGCCCTTCGTGCGGCGGATCGCGTCCTGAGGGACGTGCCGCCTCGGCCTGAGGTTGGCCATCTTCGGCCCACGGCTGCGAGATCCTGGTCTCCGTCGCCTCTGCGAAGGCAGGGGGACCGATCGAGGTTTCCTCCCGTTGGCTGGGGGCCCGCTGGTTGGGGGCAGCGGGCCCGTTAGTTGGGGGCCTTGCCGCCGCCTTGGCCTGCGCGTGGCATGCGGCCCATCCTGAATTCGCGGTGTGCGCGGCGGTGCCGACACGCCTGGGGGACCTTCGGGGGCGGGTGTCGGGGCCGGGGCTGTCGACCCCCCTGGGGGCCCGAGGGGGCCCACTGCGCGCAGTGGGCAGAGGTCTGTGGCTCCGACGTGCACTTCTCGCTGCAGTCCATACGGACAGGCTGATTCGGCTGATGGTTTTTGGGTGTGGGGGGGGGGGAGTATGCGGGAGGATGGCTCGCTGGCAGAAGACTGGTGTCTTGCCACTTGCTGGTGCAGAAACGGATGTTTTGCCAATCGCCACCACATAACGCAAGACGACTCCGACGTGTGAGACTCACCAGACTCCCGAAAGGCTCTAGGGAAGGGAGGTGGGCGGACCTCCCGGCCGTCGGCCGGCGACCGTCGCCGGCCGTCTTACCCGCCGTCGTGGCGGTCGTGGCCGCTTCTGGAGGGCGTGCCTCAATTGTTCCTGGGCGACAACGGGCGTTACCGGCGCCGGCGCCGTCTTGGAGCGCCCAGGAGTCACCGAAAGCCTCTCCGTGGTCAGCACGACTTGTGGGTTTACCTGGGGGGGCCCGCAACAGCCGCCATCGCGAAACATAAAAACGTTCTTTTGTCATTTTCGTTGTTGCCGTCGCCGTCGCCGTCGCCATCGTCGTTGCCGTCGCCGTCGCCGTCGCCATCGTCGTCGTCGTCGTCGTCGTCGTCGTCGTCGTCGTCGTCGTCGTCGTCGTCGTCGTCGTCGTTGCGTCGTCGCCGCCGCCGCGCGCAGGTGGAGCCCGCCGCCCCCGCTTCCCCCCGCGGCTCCTCCGCGGGTTCGGCGTCCCCGTCCACGCCCGAGACGCCCCCGGGCCGGGGCCGCCGGCGCACGTGCCAGGCAGGCACCCGGGGTGGGGGGGTCGGCCACGCGCAGAGGGTGGTCAAAAGGGCCCCGGGTCAATGCAAGCGGGGGTCAAGCAGAGCGCCAGGCTTTTGCAGGAGATCCTGCAGGGCCAAGGGGCGCATTGGCCTGGGCGGGTGCGCGGGATCTTGCCGGATCCTGCACGGCCTGGCTGACCCTGGTCTGGCTTGACCCAGGTCAGGAGATCCCCGAGCTCGGAGGGTCAAGCACTGGCGAAGCGTTCCAGCTTGTCTATAGGTGTTCGTTGTGATCTCGTGGGAGGCCTCTCGGGGGCCTCTTGGAGGCAGCTTGGACGCCTCTAGGGGGCCGTTTTGGGGTCTCTTGGGGCCTCTTTTGCGTCTCTTGGGCGCCTCCTGGGGCTTCTTGGGGCCGAAGGCTCGGCTTTTCGCTTCGTGTTCTCCTTCTCGTGAGCTCCTTTTGGGGCCGTCTTGGGGCCGTTTGGAGCACCTCTTGAATCGTCTTGGGGCCTTCTTGGGCCGTTTTGGGACCCTGTTGGAGGCCTCTTGGGCCGTCTTGAGGAGGTCTTGAGGGCCTCTAGGGCCGTCTGGAAGCGTCGGGAAGCGGAGAAGGCGAGAACGCTCAAATCCCTTAAGAACTGTGGGACAATCAATGATGTTGGCCTCTGGGGAGGCCTCTGTAGGCGTCTTGGAGGCCTCTTGGGCCATCCCCTGGGAGGCAGCGCGAGAGCGCGAAGTTATTCGCACTCTCGCGCTTCGCGCAGCGCGAAGCGCGAAGTTGGGAGCCCTTATCGAGCTGGCAGAAGCAGCAGCGGGCCGGGATGCGCTGCGCCTGCCGCACACCGGGCCAGGCCGGCGCAGCCGGGTGTTGCTGCCAGTGGCCCCGGGCCTGCTGGGGGGAAGCATCGACCCTGGTGATCAGGCAGTGACAAAGCGCCCCAGCGGCGTGCCTACAGGCCTACCAAACCATGTTCTAAGAACCGTTTGTGGTTTCCACGAACTGTTCTTAGGACGCTTTTGGCTGGGACCGTCTTGTTTAACACATTGGTGTCATGTTCTAAGCACATTGTTTTTGTTCTTAGAACGTTTTGGGGTTCTAAGAACATCTCGTGGTAGGCCTGGCCTATAGGAGTGCCGGGACGGTCGGTCCCTGCTCAATGTGAGCCGTTGCACCCCTGCGAGCCCTTCCCACATGCGGGGCAACGATGGGGGGGGGGCGCACCGATGGGGGGGGACACAGCTCGAGGTGTTCGGGCAAGTTCGGCGGTTCCCGGCGGTTTTCCAACCCTTTTGGGTGCCTTCTAGCGGCTGCGCCTCGCCGACGGCGTTGCGGGGGCGCCTGGGTCGTCCCGAACGGCCGCCAGAGGCCCGAGTTGTGGCCCGAAAGCCAGCAGGGGATGGGCTCGGGGAGGGGAGGAAAAACATCGACCTGGAATCGGCGAAGCAGCGCCGACAGATCGGCGACAGGCCCCCGATAGCGAGGCCGCACGGTCCTGGCCGGGTAGGGTTCTGTCGGGCCTGTCCCCCTACAGGGGGATTTTCGGCGAAAAATAAAAAAATACCCCGACAATGCCCCAAAAAGGTAAACAAATATTAAAAAAAAGTCTCCAGACTATTCTTATATTATTTTTTGATTATTTTTTTTGGGTATTTTCATTTTTCGTCGAAAATCCCCAGGGTAGGGCCTTGGGGGTCCTGTCGGCGAACCATGGGCGATCGTGGGGCGATGATCCCCCCCCCCTGGGCCCAGCCCCGCCTCCAGCGCTTTTCGGGCCCAGGGTGGCCCCTCCCTCCCCCCGCCTTCCTCCGCCCGCCAGTGTTCGAAGTTAATTCGACGAGGAAGTCGACAGACAGGACGCTCCGCCACGCACGCGCTGTGGCACCCGCAGCGTTGGGCGCGGAAGCGCGGCTCCCGCGCATCGCCCTAGCAAAAAAAAAGGTGGCCCCAGCTTTTCCAGGCAGGCCCATGTGGCCTCAAGATCGTCCCTGGCGAGCCGAATGATTCAGCACAAGCGTCGTCCCTCGGAGCTGCGCGGGGACCTCCTGGGGGTCGGCGCCGCGCCACCCGTGGCGGCGCCTCCTGCGCCGCCTGCGCCGCCGCGGGCGAGGGAGGGGGGGGGGTCCTGCGCGGAGCCCCGGAAGCCGCGCGGACCTCTGGTAGAAGTCGTGTCCCTACCGCGTGTGCCTGTTCGCCTACAGTCAGCCCGCATAGTGAGGATGGGCAACCTTCCCAAGGGTGCCCTTGCATCCTCGCCCCGTCGGCCCAACCTCGGCCGCTGTCGCTGGCCAGCCTCGCTCAACAAGCGCTCACAGTGGCCCCCAGGGCCCTTGCACCCTTACCGCGCATCCTTGCGATGCGGGTCGTCTACGGCGAGGCCCCGAGGGCCCCAGAGGCGCGAACCGCCGGGAGCAGCTCGGGCCAGGACCACGTCCGGCAGCACCCGGCACATGGGGCCACTTCCGGCAGTACCCGCCGCAGGACCACCTTCGGCAACACCCGACCCAGGCTTAAATCGGGCATCGTTCAAAAATAGTCGTAATACAGTCCAGCGGCGATTTGTCTATTGTTTTTGTTGGGGTATGTTTGAGCCAAAATCCGCCCGCATGAGGACATGCCCGACCTAACACACAGGGCGGCCCAGATGGCTCACAGAGCACCGCTCACGAGTCGAAGGACAAACGACCGCGCATGGTGAGGACGCGCGCCTACTCTAGGGTACCCTTGTGCCTTTGCCTCTGCCTCCCGCCCTAGCCTCTCACGGTACCCTTGTGGCTTTCCCCAAAAACCCAACTTCGGCCTTCAAGGGTCTTGCGTCCTTGCCACCCGTCCGTGCTACATGTTTCAGATGTGTTTCTCTGGGCTTCGCGCGGATTTGGTGGATAGGCGTGGAGCCCCCCCTGGCGGCGCCCTCGGCGCCGCTCCTGCGCTCCACGGGACAGGGAGCGGAGGTTCGGCGCAGATCCAAGAAGTTCGTGCGGGCCTAGCTTGTTTCTCTAACGAGACCACGATGAGCGACGCGAAAAACGGGTTCGACTGCGCCGACATTCGCGCGTAAGCTGCTCGCGCAAGGTCGCGCGTAAGCGCCCTCGTCTCCATAGCGGCTTACTGCGATGGCGGCTTGCGAAAGCCACCGCGTAAGGTCGCTGTGTCATCTCACGCGAGACTCGCTTGTGATCGTGGCTCACCTGCTGCTTTTGCCGTTGCCCGCTTCTCTCACGAGACCCCGGTGGCCCCAGAGGCGCGACACGCTGGGAGCCACCTGGACCTGGGCCAGCTCCGGCAGCAACCGACACGGGGCGAGGCCGCGCGTGGTGAGGTCGGGGGGCGTCTCGGGCTCAGGCTGGGGTCCAGGGCGTGCACGGCGTGCCCAGTTCCCTGAGGGCTTGGCAGCGGGCTGGACGGAGGCTCCTTGGCGAGGCGCCGTGCGTGCAGGCTCGCGCGGGAGCGCCCGTCGGGCCGCTCCAGAGGCGCTCCCGCTCGCGCAGGCTCGCGCGCGGCGCCTGTCGGGCCACTCCGGAGTTATGATGTCCCAACCTGTTTCATCCTCGATCACCAGAAAGCATCTCGAGCACCGAGAGAGCACCGAGACTCGAGGGTGTTCTTTTCACGCGCGGGCCCCCCAGAGGCGATGCTCGTTCGGCACCGCTTCGATCCTTTCCTGGGTGCTCAAGATCATGTCTGGGATGGGGTCCTCGAGCGCGATGGGAACAACAGAACTCCAGACCCAGACTCCCGACGTTATGATTTTGTTCATTACGTCGACCCCCGAGGTCTCGACCCATTCCCAGGGATCGGTTTTTCATCCTGAGCCATTTTTTGATTGTCCCGAGGGCTGGTAGGGGCCTCCCGAGGCTGACAGTAAGGAAAAACCTACCGTCATGATTTTTCCATTACCCGAGGGAGGAGGAGGAGGAGGAGGAGGAGGAGGAGGAGGAGGAGGAGGAGGAGGAGGAGGAGGAGGAGGAGGAGGAGGGGGGGGGTCTGGGGCGGGGCTGCTCGCGCGGAGTGCTCGCGCTCGCGCGGCGGCCCGCGCGCGGCGCCCGGCGGGCTGCTCCAGGGGCGCCCCCGCTGCGGCGGGCTCTCGCGGAGCGCCTGTCGGGCCACGCCAGGCGCGCTTGCACGCCGGTCGTCGAAGGCGTGTTTATGTCGGGCGTGTCCCCCTACAGGGGGATTTTCGACGAAAAATGAAAAAAACTAAAAAAGAGATACCTCAAAAAGGTAACAAAAATACTCAGAAAAAAGTCCCCAGACTATGTTTGGACTATTGTTTTGATTATTTGTTTGGGGTATTTTTAATTGTTCGGCGAAAATCCCCCTGTAGGGGGACAGGCCCGACTTAAAGGTATGTGTTTCTGGACTCCCAGATACCAATCCTCTTCCAGCGCCCTCCTTCAAGAGTCGATGTTTTTTTGCTGTGCCCTGTTAGTCTCTGGGAGGGCCAGCACCCAACCTTCTTCACGTTGTGACCCACCCGTTCCGACCGAGGAGTAAGTGCGCGCAGGAGTGCAGCACCGTCCTGTTCAATCGCCTTCGTCGGTCGCCACTCGTCGTCCCTGTCGGGTTCGATGTTGCCGCCGCCCTCATCCTCGTGGCTCTTGCTTCCCGTGCGTCGTCGTCGTTTCCGTGAGTCACCCGATGAGTAGGTTCTTTGTGTCTGCCGACGCGCATCGGCGTTCCTCACACCCTTCCCCACCGAGCGCGCTCCACGACTCGCCAAGTGCCTGCCCGCAAACGTCCGACAAAACACGGGCCTGCCTCGATGCAAATTGTCGCAGATCCCCCGCGCCGGATCCAGGCCATGTGCGAGTAGATACTCTGCGAGGCTTTCTGCAGGGGGAAGGTGCACAAGTCGCCGAGGAGCAGTCCAGGGACATTTTTTTGACCATCTCTGACCAGTTGGGGGTGTATTGTTTGAGTATGTTTGTTATCTCTGCCGCCCAAAATCCTCCTGTAGGGGGAGGCCCGACCGAAGCTTTCCTCCCCCCTCCCCCCCCCGCGGCGGCGGGCAGCCGAGGGCAGGATACGCTCGCGCTGCCGATCGTGTACTGCACCTCCGAGCCCGCGCCGCCCCCGCGCCCCTGGCCGTCTGCCGGGCCGAAGGCCGCCGCCGGCTCGCCCTCGGCCTCCTCCTCCCTCCTCCTCCTCCCCCTCCTCCTCCTCCTCCTCCTCCTCCTCCTCTCCTCCTCCTCCTCCTCCTCCTCCTCCTCCCTCCCTCCTCCCTCCTCCTCCTCCTCCTCCTCCTCCTCCTCCTCCTCCTCCTCCTCCTCCTCCTCCTCCTCCTCCCTCCTCCTCCTCCTCCTCCTCCTCCTCCTCCTCCTCCTCTCCTGGGGGTGCTCAAATGGGCGGAGGCTATCTTTGCTGGCAGCCATGAGGATATCATGGCTGCTGGGTGGCGCAGAGCTGTCGCGGCGGCCGCTGCCGCCAAGCCTGGGAGTAACCCCTGGAGGCAGATAAAAGGACCCGCTTCAGCCGTCTGGGCCACACTCAGACTCCTCTCGTGGACGTGGCCTGCCTATCATGTTTTCTCCGACCATCTCGGGCAGCAGTGGGAGTTGCGCAGGACAGCACCGCAGTGTCTCAAGAAGCTGATCTGGTCCCGCTTAGAATGTGCGGTGATGACCTCCTGGGCGGCTTCCAGGGACCTCGGGATCACCCGCCCCTTCCTCGAGCCTATTAGGGCTCTCCTTCGACGGAAGGCTAACCGATCGCCGCAGAGGCGATCGGCTATCCTGGCCTACATGGGCCGCGACTTCTGGACCCAGGACAAGGTCTGGCGTGCGGGTTTCGGGGACGACAGGTCCTGTCAAGCCTGCGGCGCTGAAGTCGGATGCCAGCACCATCGTTTTCTTTGCTGCCCAGATAGAGGAGCAGCGAGAGCCGCAGTAGCCGAGGATGAGGGCCTCCAAGGGATTGTGCATCGTGCGGAATCCTCCACCTCGGACTCCCTCCTTTTCTCCCGTGGGCTTCACGAGCACCCCCTGGAGGACCCGCAGTCGGATTGGATTTCGGCCCTGGAGGAGGAGAACCCCGATTTTGTAAATCCCCCGCTGGTCTCAGGGTGGGCCTGCTCCGACGGATCGGCCAGAGGCCCACCAGGGCTAAAGAGTTTCGGTTGGGGCTACGTTTTCCTGGACCAGGACGGGGGGGCTGTTAAGGCCATGCGGGGGACCCTCCCAGGGCTGCGTAGCCTAGCCTCTGTCCTGCGTGCTGAGCTGTATGGACTGCTCAAGTTGCTGAATAGCGCCCACCCGCCTCTGAGGGTAGGGGTAGACAACAGTTCAGTCATTCGAGGCCTCCGTAGAGGCCCCAGCTGGTGCTGCAGCCCTAGGAGACCACACGCCGACCTCTGGGGTAGAATCTGGGCCCAGATCCAGGACAGCTTCAGTCAGGAAGGCGATTTCCAAGCCGTCAAGGTGAAAGCCCATGCTAGCGGGCCAAAGGATGACTCGCACGAGAGCTTTCTTGATTTTCAAGGGAATCAATTGGCAGACTGTGAGGCCCGCATTGGGGCCGACATGCAGGAGGTCCCCCCGTGGAAGGCCCAGACCTGGGCCAACCGCTCTGCGGAGGTCCAGGCGGTGTTGACTCTGGTGGCGGGGGTGACGGGGCGTACGGCGGATTTCGGGGATTCCACGGGGAGGCCTGCCGCGGGCTCCAGCGGAGCCCGCCGACGGCGGCAAGGGCCGCCCGAAGGGGCCCGCGCCCATGTCCTACTCTGGAGGAGGGGGGCGTGGCGTTGCTCGACGTGCGGGCGAAAGGCTTTCTCTTGCAAGACCAGGCGCGCGTTGGCGCGCAGGCCCTGCCAGGGCAAGATGAGGGTGGATCGTCGGTGGGGCGTTGATTTGGGGCGGGGGGTTGGGGAAGGTGTCATCTCTCCAGCCCTCCGCGGTGCGGCCTTGGGGCACGAATTGCACCGCGCGGGCCAGTATACTTTCTGCGATCGGTGCGGTGTGTTCTCGAGCGAGAGAGGGTGCAAGCTCTTGGCTGCCTGCGTGGGGGCCCCCGCGAACCCCACTGCAGAGTACCGTCCCTCGCTCCTGCGCCGAGGCAAAAATCCTTATGCAGTAAAGGTCTCCCTGGATGCAGAGCCGCGCTCCCTGGTACAGGTGGAGTGCGCGGCGTTCTGGGAGCGCCTGATGGACTGATCTGGGAGGGGCGGGATGGCACCCCGAGGTGGAGTGCCCGCCCATCCGTCTCACATATGGCGAGCTGGGGCGGGGACCGCCAGGCATCGTTCTTGCAGCAAAAATCCTCCCCCTCCTCCCTCCTCCTCCTCCTCCTCCCTCCTCCTCCTCCCCTCCTCCTCCTCCTCCTCCTCCTCCTCTCCTCCTCCTCCTCCCTCCTCCTCCTCCTCCTCCTCCTCCTCCTCCTCCTCCTCCTCCTCCTCCTCCTCCTCCTCCTCCTCCTCCTCCTCCTCCCGCGCCTCGTCATCCCGCGAGGGGGGGGGGCTCGACCCTAAGAACTCCTCGGGCACGGACTCGACACGCGTCGGCGAGGGGTGTTCGAGCCCAGGCTCAAGTCGGGCACGCCCCTTTGCAGGAGGAGTGCCCGAACTACTTTTGAGCATTCTGGAGTATCTTTGGCAATTTTTATTCTTCAGCCAAAAAGCCGCCTGTAGGGGGGCATGCCCGACCTCGACCCTAAGAACTGCCCGGGCACGGGCTCGACGCGCGCCGGCGAAGGGCGCGCCGGTGCCCGGGCAGCTCTCTCTCCCCCTGGGGAGAGTGCCGCTCGCTCCCCATTGCGGTGCGCCTATCTCTCTATCAGGGCGGTGTGCCGGGCCGAAGGCCTCCTCCTCCTCTTCCTCCTTCCTCCTCCCTCCTCCTCCTCCTCCTCCTCCTCCTCCTCCTCCTCGTCCTCCCTCCTCCCTCCTCCCTCCTCCTCCTCCCTCCTCCCCCTCCTCCTTCCCTCCTCCTCCTCTCCTCCTCCTCCTCTTCTCCTCCTCCTCCTCCTCCTCCTCCTCCTCCTCCTCCTCCTCCTCCTCCTCCCTCCTCCTAGAGCTCGTTGGCGACGGGTGACTAGAGTTTTCCGACCAGGGCACAGGCAGGACATCCGCACGCAGGATGGCGATTTCTTGTTCACTTCGGCATGCCGGCTGCTGCACTATGCGGTCACGCTCGACCTCTCCTCCTGCGCCACATTGATCCACACCTACGCGGCTACAGTGGAGACGCATGCGTCGAAGCTCGAGCTCGAGGCGGCACGCAGGCGAACGGCCCAGTTTCGCAAGTGGGCTCAGGATGCGATGGTCACGGGCCCCTCTTCCCATCTTTGGCATGACGAAGCTAAAGGGCTGGGCGCACGATGATGTGGACAGGTTTGGCATTCGCACAGCATTACCTCAGGCAGTTGCGGACAGTCATATGGATTTCTGCAATGATAGTTGGAAGGGGAATGTGATTTTCTTCGAAGGCGGATCTCGACACGATCATGCATGACAGGGTCGACGACCTGCCCACACAGAAGGAGGAGGTCACCAACGACCATGCCCTGCTCCAGTTGGACGACACGGAGGGCGAGATCGGTGACATCCTTCGCACCATGCCCAAGGAGGCCCTCCCCGTCCCCACCATCGATGCGATCCGGGCGGTCTCCAGGACTTTTGCCTGGAAGACGGGGCTCGGCGCCGATGCAACGCCGCCGAGAGTATTCTCCTTGCTCAGCGACGAGGCCTTAGCCATGTGGGTGTACATCATCTGGGCGGCCGAGACATGGGGAAGGTGGCCATATGTTATCATGGCCGTGCACGTGATGCTCCTCTCCACGGCCCAGGGCGGCTTCCGCCCGATCGCCCTCCTTCCCTCGGCCTACAGGCTCTACACCAAGGTGCGCATTGGGCGCATTCGAAGGTGGATGATGCAGCATGATCGCACGTATTTCGCTCTTGGCACAGGGCGATCGACTATAGATGTAGGAGCGCGCACCATGGTCTATGCCGAGGCAGCCGATGCTCAGGCAGGAGATGCCGTGGTCACCACGCTGGTCGACGTCAGTAACTGCTTCGACTCAGTCCAATGGATCAAGGTCGTGATGGCCGCGCGGCACTACCAGCTCTCGGGAACGATCCTCAAGGCAGTTTTGGCGATGTACATGGCGCTCAGGAGGATCAGATGGGGTGTGACATACTCCTAGTCTGTTCGCACCATGGCAGGTGCTCTACCTGGATGCACGGTAGCCATGTACTTGCTCCAGCTGGCTACGATGATGCCCTTCGACGTGTTTGCCGCCTCCCTGCATGGTGGCCTCCAATACACCTTGGACATATACGCCGATGACATCCCGCTCCAGCTCATGGCGCTCGACATCGAGATAGTAGAGCAGGCGGCGAGCAGGCGGCGAGCATCATCGAGCGCTTGGTCAACGTGCCCCAGGCACTGGAACTCCCGACTGCCAGGGACAAGGCCAAGATCTTGAGTTCCTCGATGTGGCTCGCGGAGCAAGTGGCACGTCGGCTACGCGGACACGGCTTCGAGGCGGTGCGCCAGCTCACCGCCCTTGGCCTGGAATGCCGCGCCGGCGCTCGTCTCACCTACTCGACGATCCACAAGCGGGATCGCAAGGTCAAGGAGCGCCTGCCCAGGTTTCGGGGGCGCCGAGGACTTGAACGGATCGCTCGACGGGTAGCGCGGCCTGCGCTGGCGCCTGGCATGGTGCATGGCCCCCACGTGGTCGGCGCCCCACCATCCACTCGCCGCGACGGCGAACGTGGTGCGCACAGGATGGGCCAAGACACCGACGGCATCATCTACATGGCTGGCATCTATGCTGGAGGAGGCGCCTCACTGCTTGCCCGAGGGCGCCGGCATGACGGAGCCGATCTACACGTGGGCGCAGATGGTCTACGCGCAACAGGTGCCCCTTCCTGTTTTGCAGAAGGCCTGGGACATTCAGCTGCAGCGGTTGGACACCGCTGCAACATGGAGCCATGTGACGGGACCCGTTGGTGCCGTGCAGCTTCTTCTTCGACAGTTGGGATGGCGAACCCAGTCGGCTACCCTCTGGACCACTGGCAATGGCATGCGATTGGATCTGACTGTGCAGTCGCCGAGTTGGGCGCGCGTCGTGGCAAGGCGCAGTTATCGCAACATGCAGTGGGGAGC